GCCATTTTTTGGTTGCAGCCATCATTGTTGTTTGGCGGGCCGGGACTGGGGATTTGAACCCGCCACCTTAGGTGTATGTGGATGGCACCTTAGCCACTTGAGCCACAGGCGCCGAGCCACCATAAGCAAATTCTATCAGCTCTACCTCCAAAGTATGTCCAGAATTTCTATACTTCTTACTCCTCCACTCTACTCACCGTCCTCCCTTACCTTTACCATTAGCCCTCTCAAGAACCCACACAGCAACCAGAGTGATCTTTTTGAAAATTAAGTTGGACCACATCACTCATTACTCAAAATCTTCTAACAGAGCCCACCTTATCAGAGAGAAAATAAAAAATCCTAATAGTGGCTCACAAAGACCTCAAGATCTGATCTTATGACTATAAATCAGACCCCATCTCCTAGTCTTCACTCTTTACTGATGTTATTATACTTGAGCCCCACTGACTATACTGACGTTATTCCAAAATATACCAGTAAGTCTGCATATGCTTTACACATACTGCTGCCTACTGCCTGGAATGTTTCCCACTATCTAGATATCCATATAGCTTACTTCCTTATTTCTTCACATCTCTTTGCTCAAAGATCCTCTTACAATGAGCTCCAACTCACTGATATAAATCATTCCACATATTCCAACACAATGCTGAAATAGGTATAAAATTCACTACCAAGCTGAAACCTTTGATTATGTCAATAATACTGACCAATGAATTAAAAAACCAAGCAAAATTTAAGACATCTAAATGAAATAAAATAATAAAAACTATAAGCTACTTTAGCCACTACGCAGAAGTCAATTCAAAAACATCTGAAACCAAGACAACTCTGCTTATTTATTAACAGCACTCTGGTAAGATAACAACACTAAAACATGAACCAGAAAAAAGGTTCCTTTTCCAATTAAGTACACTAAATAAAATTATAATAAAGAGAAAAAAATGATATCGTTATAGTCTTCAAGTCTTGATTAAAAAATGTAATGTAAATAACAAGTCAGTGTACATGCCATAGTTAATTTTTAATAGTAAACTAACAAAGCCTCTTGAGAAGACAAAATTTGTGCTAACTACTACTTCTTATGTGACACATAAGGAAAAGTTTAGTGATCAGGCTAGTACAAATGGTATAAAATTTACATCAACCCTATACAAGTAGCTTCTCATAAATTTGAATTTCCATCTAAGTGTTTCAAATGGCAAACTGCTTTCCCATGATAGTGGTTATAACATCGAAAGTTGTTTTTTGTAGTGCCAAGGATACTGACTTAAAGCCTTATGACCAGAGTGCTTTACAGATAGCACTTGACTCAAGTATTATTATTTTAAAGGTAAGCTGCCAGCCTAAGTAACATAGTGAGACCTCATCTTTACAAAAAATTTACAGATTAGCTAGGTGTGGTGGCACATGCCTATAGTCCTAAACTATTCTAGAGGTTGAGGTAGGTGGACCACTAGAGCCCAGGAGTTCAAGGTTGCAGTGAGCCATGATGACATCAATTCACTCTAGCCTGGTAAGCTGGGCATGGTGATACACACCTATAGTCTCAGCTACTTAGGAGGTAGTAGGATCATTTGAGTTAGTTCACTTTCGAGTAGTCAAATTATGATTCAGAAGATGATGATTTAGTTCTAATTTACTCAATCTGTATAAAAAGACAATATGGGCTGGGTGTGGTGGCTCATTCCTGTAATGCTTGCTACCACTTTGGAAGGCTGAAGTTGGAAGATTACTTGAGCCCAGGCAACATGGCAACACCCAGGCATGGTGGCATGCTCATCTGTAATCCCTGCTACTCAGAAGGCTGAGGCAGGAGGAGGATCACCTTAGCTCAGAAGTTCAAGGCTACAATGAGCTATGATCATGCAAATGTAATCCAGCCTGCATACAACAGAGACCTCATCAATAAAAAAAAACACACACACACACACACACCTCAGTAACAGTAACGACAACACAAATCCACAACGTTCTCTCTACTCATATAGTAAAGCTATACATAAGTGAGACTTGCTTTGACAAAAATCATTATACCAGATCTCAGAGTGTATCTACATTACCTGTCTGGGTAAAAGCCCCAATGCACTAACACCTGCTTGTCTTTTCTCATCACTGGTCTCAACCATTCTTCTGAAAGGGAAAAAAACTTTAGTCAAACTAACAAAATAATTGAATAAACTATGACTTAGCCTTAATTATTACTAAGACTTTTTAGTTTGGTAATGAGCAATTTAAAAGAAGGGCTTCTGTGGTTTCTTTTTTGTTTTTGAGACAGAGTTTCACTGTGTTCCCCTCAGTACAGTGTCGTGGCATCACAGCTCATGGCAACCTCAAACTCTTGGGTTTAAATGATTCTCTTGCCTCAGCCGCCCAAGTTGCTGGGACTACAAACACCTGCCACAACACCCAGCTAATAAAAGTAGTTTTTAAATTCAGGATTCAAGAGAAATTTCTCAGGATGCTCATTCAGACTTTAGAGTAGAAGTCCACTATCTAGCACTCTTGATAAAATCAACTATTCACTGCAGTAAAATACTCCCTTTCCATCTAGCTACAGTTGTCTCTCTTATACACAAATCACAATCACCATTATAATAATGCTTCAAATCCTATAAAGAACTTCCCATTCAATTTTCTGTGAGGCTTTGCAATTATTATATATCTTTCAAGATATAAGTCATGCTTCTTCTCCTTGATGGGCTACTTCCTCCTGATTCACTTTCTCTGGTGTATTAACTATATGCTTTCTAGTGTGACATCAAAACTTTTAGCTATAATACCATTTATGTCATTCTGTAAATTGTCACATACCTGTTTAGCTCTGCAAACAAAAGTGTGAGCAAGGTAATCACATGCTATATAGATATTTTTCTTTCAGGTTTCCTTTTCAAAGACAGGTACAAATTATTTAATGAAACGATTCTTTTATTGGCTGGGGGGGGGGAGGGACAGAGTCTTACTATGTCGCCCTTGGTAGAGTGTCATGGCCTCATAGCTCATAGCAACCTCAAACTCCTGGGCTTAAGTGATTCTCTTGCCTCAGCCTTCCAGCAGCTGGGACTACAGGCACCCGCCACAAGACGCAGCTATTTTTTTTGTTGCAGTTGGCCCCAGCTGGATTCCAACCCACCAGCCTTGGTATATGTGGCTGGCGCAGAGCCAATGAAATGATTCTTAATGATTTTAATCAGAGTTAATTCCCTCTAGATTTTAGAACTGGTCATGATGCATGGTCTTCAATAGTCTGAATTTAGGTTAGAAAACTTGTTCCTAGTAGTAAGAGGGAAATTTTGAAGTAGGTACCTAAAAACTCAAAAAAAAGCAAAAAGGTAACTAAGTAAATCAGCTAAGTAAAATCAACTTCTCAGGGTCAGCTTCAATGGAAAATAGCCCCAGTTTCACTAAGGTCATGAAGCTGAGGTGGCTGTGCTCTTTTTGAAATAGCCAACTGCTTACCTTATTATCTTGAAAGAAAGTAAAGAATCAGGCCTTGTTCCTTAACTTCATATCCCAACATACCAGAGAAAAAAGATAAAGGATCTAATAGACCTTTCTAAATCCACACTACATAAACTGACCAGTCTTTAGGTTGCCTTTTTATGTACTGAAACTATCTTCAAAGATTGTGCATCCCTCTCTCACTCTTTTTGAGACAGGGTCGCACTCTGTCTCAGGGCTAGAATGCAATGGCATCACAGCTCACTGAAAACTCAAACTCCTAGACATAAGCAATTCTCCTGTTTCAGCCTCCCAAGTAGCTACAACTATAGGCATGCACCTCCACACCCAACTAAATTTTCTATTTTTATTAGAGACAGGGTCTCCCTCTGGCTCAGCGTGGTCTCCAACTCCAGGACTCAAAGGATTCTTTTCCCTAAGCCTTCAAGAATGCTAAGATTATAGGTATGAGTTACTTACTGTACTTGGCATTATTTTCTTTCTTTCTTTCTTTTTTTGTAGAGATAGAGTCTCAGATTATCACCCTCAGTAGAGTGCTGTGGCATCACACTTCACAGCAACCTCCAATACCTGGGCTTAAGCGATTCTCTTGCCTCAGCCTCCCAAGTAGTTAAGACTATAGGCACCTACCAGAATGCCTGGCTATTTTTTTTTTGTTTGCAGTTTGGCCGGGGCCAGGTTTAAACCCGCCACCCTCAGTATATGGGGCCGGTGCCCTATCCACTGAGCCACAGGCGCCGCCCTATTTTCTATTTCTTAATAAACATGTTTGTAGGCTCGGCGCCTGTGGCTCAAGCGGCTAAGGCGCCAGCCACATACACCAGCCCGGGCCCACCAAACAACAATGATGGCTGCAACCAAAAAATGGCCGGGCGTTGTGGCGGGCGCCTGTAGTCCCAGCTACTTGGGAGGCGGAGGCAGGAGACTCGCTTGAGCCCAGGAGTTGGAGGTTGCTATGAGCTGTGATGCCATGGCACTTTACTCAGGGGGATAGCTTGAGGCTCTGTCTCAAAAAAAAAAAAAAAAAAAAACACATGTTTATATAACTATTTCTGATCTTTCTTCTTTCTAATATATGCATTTAAAGATATAAATGTCCACTACAAGTAGATTTACTACGTATTTTTCATTTCATTACAATTCAATTCTAAAGATTTTCTACTTTAGTTGTAATTTCTCCTTTAACTCATGCATTATTTATCAGTGTATTTCAAAAACACATGGATTACCCAGGGGTTTGCATGTGTACAGAAACAAGGTTGGTGTCTACAACCCAGGTTGTTATATAATTATATAATCATGGCTCACTATCACCTTTAACTCCTAGGGTCAAGAAATCCTCTCAAGTAAATGCCACACCACACTTCATTAATTTTCTTGGTTTTTTTTTTTTTGAAGAACAGTTTCTCTATATTGCCCAGGCTGACATTGAACTCCTGGGCTCAATCAATTCTCCCATCTCAGCCTCCTGAACTGCTGGGATTATAGGTGAGCTGCTGTCCCTGGCTGGGATTGTCTGCTTTTTTGATACAGACTTCTACCTAACTGCACTATTAGGACAAAATACTCAGGAGAGGGATAATAAGCCACTCAAATTTGATGTAATGTGGCTTATCATATAAATATCCTGCAGAGATAGGTTGTGCTTATCAGATGATTTGACTGTTGCCTCCCTATAGAAGATCTTTTCTCATTTTAAATTTATTAATTTCTGGCCAGTTACAATAGCTCATGCCTATGATCCTAGCACTCTGGGTGGCTGAGGCAGGAGGACTGCTTGAGCTTGGGAGTTCAAGACCAGGCTGATCAAGAGTGAGATTTCATCTCTACTAAAAATAGAAAAATGAGAGCGGTGCCTGTGGCTCAAAGGAATAAGGCACCAGCCACACATGGACCCTGGCTAAAAACTGCCAAAAAAAAAAATAGAAAAATGAGCTGGTAATTGTAGTGGAAGCCTGTAGTCCCAGCTACTCAGGAAGTTGAGGCTGCTATGAGTTAGGGTGATGCCAATGCACTATAGCCTAGGCGACAGAGACTCTGTCTCAAACAAATAAAAATAAATTTATTAATTTCTATTTTGCACTTCAATTCAGTCCTTTGAAAGAATGGTTAGCATAAGTCAGTTTCCACAGGTCTGATGAACTCTAATGTACAATGCAATCAACTTTCAGAATAGGAAAACTGAAGATCAGAAATCAAACTAGGAAAATTATTCAAGCTAGCATCTTGCTGTCAGGTCCTATTTAAATAACCAGTAAATTGTATTCTTTCCAAAAGAATGGCAATGTCTTCTAATTTTCAGAGCACAAGAGATACAGTAAATATTAACAAGTTATACATAAAGTATGTCTACTCTTTTTTTTTTTTTTTTTT